TAAAAAATCATGTGTCAATTCACGAGTTTGCTCACAGAGCACTTTGATTAATATCGTTGTCATTATTCTCATCGGTTTACTACTTTCATTTTCATGGATAGGTAATTACATCATTTCGAGTGCAATTTGGAATACATAGGCACGAGTAAATTTTTTCAAAGACAAACAAAACTGCAAGAGCCCGTAAGGCAAGTGTAATTTGTGGTCTTTGAAAAAATTAACAAGCGCTTATTTATTCCAAATTACACGAGGAAAATCATGTAATTACGTATGAATGATGTACATCAAAAATTCCAGAGAGCTTATTATAATTATGCAGAAGCAAAGCGCGCGCATCAAGTGCAAACATGATTTATTATAACCTGCAAGTGACATTGTGCGTTCGGCCAAAACAACCGCGTACGATCAAAGCAATAAATTACAATGATATTTCATATATTTAATGTGCAAAAAAGTTCAAAGTCCGGCTAAACAGTTCAAGGAATTGTTCAGTCTGTGTCCGAATCACTTTCGATGAAATGGAATCGTCGTTTGCGAGGTTTAACCATTTTGTTTTTAATTTCGGCATAGAATTGCCCGAGTAAAGTGTTAAGCTGAGTAATTTTCGATTTTCTTGGCAATTCCCTTCTCTAAACACCACTTTTTCCAAACAAAAAACCAGTATGTTATCCTTGTCAGAGCTGTTTTTTCAGTTGCCGTATTGTTGCTGCGGTGGCGAAGAAAAACCTACTTAAAACGCCGGCCACTGTTTCGCTCGCAAATTTTCATCGTATGCAAATGTTACGACATCCAAGACTCGCGATTGATGGGCTATATGTGAGTTTCATTGATTATTGACCAATCAGAATGTCTGCTTTTGTTATTTATTTGCACTGAATTAACCTTTTTCTACATTGAGTTACCTGAAACTGCATTTATCTGAACCAATCAGAACTGAGTATTTTTCATGTATATTATTATGACCTAAATTAAACATAGTCTATTTTCGTCAATTAATTGAATTATCGAAACTAATGAAGCTGAAACAGAACCGACAATCCTCCTTGGAAGCCTCGGGTGTTTCACCCCTGAATTAATACTTACGCACTTCAAATACACTAAGTAGCTTTTGTATAAATCATTTTTAAATGAACTCCTGACTTTCTATCCGTTTACCGTCATAATAGCCCACGCAGTACCCTACGCATAATAGAAAGCAGAAATGCAACGAATTTTTTCGATGTTAGGCAAATGGCCGAAAAGCGTTTCTTGTTTCAGCAAACGCACGTTAAAATGGGAAAAAAATTTTACGGAATACTCAGAGAAATCGATGATGTCACTAACACAACCATTTCAACCGCGGTACCAAATGCGATTGAAAAGCTAATTGCGATTTTTTTCCTCATGTATCCCAAACCCCCTCAGCGCGCCAGGTTTCTTCCAATACTTCGCGGATGTAACGTGCTGTAGGCCTCTTCTCCTCTGTATCCTCGAAACACAGGTTCATAATCTCACGCAACTACAGAACATGAACAAAACAAAAGAAAGAAAGTTATGTTTTTTATCAGGCAGCTTCATGTGCATTGCATAAAAGAACTGTATGCTTAAGAACAGCTTTATATAAAGCAGAGATCGATGAGAAGAGTTACACTTTCACCATGAGACTTTTGGCGAAACTTACGATAACATCGCCCTTTACGTGGCAAGATAATTCGGAGAAATACACCGGTATGGTCTTGAACACTTGTCAGGGTCATTTGGTTTCGTAATCTTGCTGCACTGTAGTTAATTAGGTATTACTGAATATATGAAAAATAGATGTCAGCTTTCTATTGTGCCCACTAAAGCTAAGGCAACCAATTAAAAGATGGTAAACTATCTACATGCGGTTCTTAATCTTGACCGTTTACTGACACTGACTTCATAATAATTACCTTAACGTATTCGCTGGAGCCATGGCAGTGTCCTAGTAAGGTTGCTAGTAAATGTCCGAACTGCTTTATGTCCTGGCTATGGCAACTCTGTTCGTCGGCCGCCGAGTTTGTAAACGCACCTGCATCATTTGCTTTAGACGCTTGAGAAAATCCACCAAGAACGGCTTTGATCGGAGGTACCTGTAAAACGCATCGATCCTGTCAAATTCGCTCCGTGGACCTCATTCATGATGGCGGGAATGATCGTCAATCTTTTATTTGCATGCTTAAAAGCCTACTTAGTCACGCTCTTGGGTGAAGTTGTTATTTCGTTACACTAGCTAGCTAGTCCAAGACCACCAATTTTAGATGAATATCAAATGAGGCCCGACATGCATGGAAGAGGTGTATAGAAACGATTTTAAAATTTTCTCAAGTGAAACCCATTGCAAAAGGTCTCGCGCATTAAGAGACACGATTTTTACTTTCTTCTACATTTAATCTGTTATTGCTCATTAGATCTATCGTAAGAGACTTTAAGCGAGACTAAGATAATTTGGCGGCCATCAATGCTTTGCGAAAGTTTTCAGACTCTAAAACATCAGTTATTTGCTTACTCTTGGACACTGCCTGATCAAAATGTTGCCAGTTGTGATGTTGTTATGAGCTATTCCATGATCCAGAAGATGTTCTATGGCGGTGATGACGTCACAAACTACAGCGCATACCGCGTCCAAGTCGATAACAATTCCTTTCTCCGAAAGAAAATCTCCCAAAGTGGAGCTCGACTCAAAATCGTAACAAATGAGCCTTAACAAAATTCAGAAGGGAATGAAGAACTAATTAAGATGAGAACGTAGAGTAAAAATTATGTGATAAATCAGCACTTACGATGTCAATAACGTTCCTTAGTACAGTAAGGAAATGTAATACATAAAACAGTGAACTTTAAATTACAAAATGAAAATTTGACTAAATTAAAATAATTTAAAGTTTCCGTCGGTCATGTCCGTGTTCTTAGTTCAGTTTAACGAGACAACTATAGTTTAAATGACCGTTACAGAGTTACGCCAATGATAACTTACCAACTACTTCCTTGTATGCCATGAATCTTCTTCTTGCCGTGTTCAATACTCTGTTCAGACGCTGAAAATCAAGAGCAGTAGCAGCAGTATAATGAAAAAATGACTTAGAAATTTAGCAGCCCACTGTTACCCGAAACAAAACAAGGTATTTACTTCTACTGTATTAGCCCCTTGCCTCTCTTTCGATATAGTTTCTCCGCATTTTGGAGTAAATAAAAGAGCCTTAAATATGTCAAACTACCAGTTCCAACTTCAAAATCAGTCCTAAAATTAACCACCTGTGATCAGCTTTTTCCAGGAAAAGCCTGTAGTGCGCGAAAAGATTGAAGACTAAAAAAAAAACATGCCATTATCGGCATTTAACTACTCCCTTTCACCTTTCCTTCCACCTTTCCTTCCACCCCTTGCTACTTAGAATATATCAGCACGCCTTTCGAGTGTATCTACCTATTAAGACACATGACTTAGCCACTGGATTTAAAATGATTGGATCCATTTCGATTATTTCGATTCAAAACCTCGTCAACTAAGCTTACTCCATTCGTGAATCGAATTGTGCTATTGTTTCAAGCAAGAATCTATTGTTTTTCAGAGCTGCTCCTTTTTTTGCTGTGGATTTTGGTTTTTTTTTGCGTTTTTTGCTAAGTTTATGAAATGAGTGTATTTTCTTAAACATGTGCAGAAATGTCGGATGCATTTTTAGTAGAGATGGTCGCTTACCTTTAGAGTGCCAGCGATAATGAAGAAGATTGTCTTGCGGGTCTTCATTACTAGACAGACCTTGAACTACATCGACCTCTCGAGTCCAGTCTTCCTTCATTTCCTTTCCGAAGTACTTCAGTAACACCATACCAAGTACTCCTTCTTCCTCGCACCAAGCTGTGACATAACCCTACATCACAAGAAGACAGCAAGGGGACAAAATTTCCTCGTTTGCAATATCGTTTTGCGTTGCATAATTGGATCATTCATATGAGCACTTACGGAAATATCGCTCGATGTATTCATGGTTGGTTGATAATGACTAGGCTACATGTATGTTTGAAACCTACCTTTAACATACTTCAGTAGGTATCTATCGAAAAGTTCAGTGATATATCTTTAAGAGGTTCCTACCGTTGAACGCTTTCCTGTTGTATCTTCTTGAAAGATATCCAATACTTCGATCAGCTTTAACTTAGTCTTCAGTTGTTTACTTTGCTGTTCCTGTTTTTCCACAATTTTCTTAACCGGCCGGGGACTGGATTCAGCAATGGAGACTAAAGTGTTTTCAGCATTTTTTCTCAGGCAGTCCATAGATTGATCTAGAAATAGAAAGGAAAAGATAACACGATTATAGAGTTAGTAGCCAACTTGGGAAAGGTTCAGATAAGGAACCATGACGACTTCATAATGGGCTCTCAGCTCTCTGAGAGGTCTTTTTAAATATGCAACTTATTGTAACTATCAAAGTGTATACTCTACTGAAACTTGTACATTTGGAAAATATTAAGATGCAAAAAGAAAAGTGCATTTTTTTCAAAGAAATCATCGCCTACCAAGTCCATGGAAAATGTAACAACAATTGAATATAAAAAAGTGAATCTTGCCATTTTTCGACCCACCTCCAGCGCGACTATCCAAAGACTTCATAACCAAGCCGGTAACATTTTTCCTCTTTCTGGCTAAGCTTCGCTTCGCTCTCTCGGTAGAAAATGTATAAAGGATTGGATTAAGGGAAGAGTTGAGCGGAAGAACAAACACTGCGATCCACACAAAGGCAATTTTGTGCGGATCGAAGAAATTTCCTGTCAGGGACAAAATGCTGATAATTATTATAGGCATCCAGCAGCAGAAGTCGGTCATCACAATAAAAATAAGTCTCTTTGCCATTGCAGATTCTTTGTTCATACTCGCTGATCGAACAGCGCGGGCAGAGCGCTTGACCGTCCAAAACATTAAGATATACGCCACCAAGATAAACGTGAACGAAATGAAATTTAAACCGATGAAAAAAGAGGCGGAATATTCCCAGCCGGCAGGGGTTCCTTCCGATAGCTGAAGAGGAAGGCAAACAGCTGAGCGACTGTAAAAACCGAAATCACCACTTTTATCGTAAAAATAGTCTATTCCGATGATTGGTATCACGGAGATGACTACGCCAAGTATCCACACGACTGCACAGGTGAATACGGCAGACTTGTACGTAAGACGCTTAAACTTGAAAGGGAAGATGATGCAAACAAATCTGTCGATGGTGATGACTGTTAAAATCAGCACTGATACCTCGCTTGAGAGCATGGATAGGACTCCAATAACTTGACAGCCTATACCAGCCCTCCATTTCGTATCATGCTTAAAATATTCACCCTGCCATCTCGCGTCCACAATTGCAATTGTCAAAAGATAGACACCCATAAACATGTCGGCTACAGCAAGATTTGTTAGCAAGAATGAATGAACCCTGTTCTCTTCTTTATCAATTATTCGCCATGTTATGACAAGAAGGTTGCCGAGGAAGGCGAGGATTCCAAGAATCCAAATGCAGATCTGAAGCGTTTTGTTCTTCATGAGGTCGTCACAGCTGGAGAACTCATCAGCAGGAGAATCACAAGTAACCCCTTCCACAGATTTCTCAGCGTAACAACAAAGGATGAAATGATCTAGTTTCCTGTGGGGATTTTTCAAGACCAAAACACTTTACATCTGAACTTCAATGTCATCAATCAAATAAGAAATTATGCCTGGGATAATATATATACACATATATTGTGTCGACTGACAAGTGATATCATCATGAAGTATCCATTTTAGATAGACTAAAAAACGTAGCTATTACGATATCAATTGTAAAATACTCACAGATACTTAAGGCTAGTCAACTCGTTGAATGCATCTGTAGGTACGTTAGCTAATCTATTGTTGTCCAAGTACCTGTTTTTATCAAGCAAAAAGAATAGTTGATTGATCTGCTCAAAAGTTGTTATTTGAAGTTGAATATCTGCACACAGGCTTTATGAAATGGAGAAGAGTAATACTTAATGACTTCACAAAGAATGGTCTTAAGCTATTTGAAAAACGAATTTTCCACACTTAAGCTGATGAACAATGGAGAACTCAAGTAAAAGCGTTCGGTAGCTAATACTTCCTTTGGTTCAATACCCAATTGGTCGAGCATTGTAATTTACTTCTCTTTTACCACTGAATCATTTATTCTACGGACATTACACCTACACCCGACTTCCGCGGAGATAAATCACCACAGAGAGACACCCTCAAGGCTGAAAATTCCAACTACTTACAAATATTTCAGTGCACTGAGCCCT